TTTTTCTTTTTGTCCGTTTGTTCCCATGTGAGAAGGTTGGACTTGGGAACCAAAAGAAGAGTGAGAGAGTGTAGCAATTCCAATGCATTTAAAGATGAGTTTCTTAAGAAAAAAAAAAAGAAAAAAAAAAAAAAAAACAAAAACAACAACAACAACAACGCAATTCATATAATACTCTTATCATTTTTACAAAAACTTTGGGTCCACATAAATTCAGAAATTTTACAAAAACTTTCTATTCACATAAGTTCAGAACTTTTGAACTGTGTTTGATTAAGTTTTGAAATTATGATTTGAGTGTGGAGTTGTGATTTGAGTGTGAAATTGTGAATTGAATTTTGAAAAGATAAAATTTGTTTGATTATGAATTTTGAAATTTTGAATTTTTTTTTAAAAAGAGTTTTGAAAGGAGTTTTTGAATTTTGAGTTTTAAAATGAGTTTTGAGTTTTGAAAAGTCTCAAATTGTAACCAAACACATAACTCAAAACTCAATTCAAAAATTATTTTCAAAACTCATAACCAAACACATAACTCGAAACTCTATACTACTTTCAAAACTTTACACTTAAATTGTAACCAAACACATAACAAAAATATATATATATATATATATATATTTAAAATAAAATGCCAAATAATATTTTTCTCAAAAATAAAAAAACATATAACTCTCCGCCTCCATTTGAGAAATGAGTTAGCTTTTTAATTTTTTAATTTTTTTAATTATTTTAATCTAAATTAAAAAATTTAATTTAAAAAAAACTTTTTGAAAACCCTAAACACCAAACTCAGGGAGTAGTCTTTTCCCCAATAAGAAAGAGGTTAGGGTTGGGGTTGGGGTCGGGGTCAGCATCGGCATGAATGACATGACTTGTTAGCAAATAACAGTTGGTGCTGCGCAGTGTCATATGGTGTTTCAGATGTATTTTAATTAATAAAAAAAATATAATAATAATCACTCAATCGGTTGTCGGCATTGTCATTTGACAATAAAATTCACAAAACAGAATATGTAGCTTCCCTTGAAGGGAGTTCATGTTTCCCCAAAATTAAAAAACTAAGCCAAACAAGTAAGCTTTTTTACGACCCAACACCGGAAATTTGAATGGTCAGACTATTTTCACTCATGTTTCCCCAAAATTAAATTTAAACCAAAAAAAATTAAAATTAATTTAAAATTTTTCTTAATTTTATTTTTTTAGGATAAATATTTTATATTTTAAATATTTATTTATTTATTTTAATGTGCACTATATTTCATATATTTTTGTTCTATATTTTTAATGTGTTTGTTTTGTATTTTGAGATAATTTTTTTTTAAAATTTAATGTGTTTGTTTTGAAAAAAAAAATTATATTTTAATGTGTTTGTTTTGAGATAAATAAATTTTAAAAATTTCATACATTTTTGTGCTATATTTTAATGTGTTTGTTTTGTATTTTGAGATAAATTTTTAATTTTTTTTTTTTTTTTGAGAAGAGAGTTTAGAAATTTTTTTAGTTTGTTTAGTTGTATATTTTGAAAATAGTTTGAGATTTTGGGATAATTTGATATTTTGTTATAGTTGAGTAGATGTGTATGAGAGAAAAAGTGATTGAGAAAGAGAGAGGAGAAAAAAAAATAATTGATTAATGTAGAGAAGAGAAAAAGTGATTTTGAAATTTTTTTTCAAAAAATTTAAACGAAATAAAATTTTAATTTTTTTTTAAATTATATGTTAAAATACAAACCAAACAAGGCCTAAGTCTTTGGTGGAGTATCATATCGATTATGTTTTTTTTGGGTCTGTGTAAAAAACCCATCTTTGTGGGTGTTTGAGAAGTTGTTATTTTAGTAAGTTTTTTAGTTTGTAATTATTTTTGGAGGAAATTTTTTTTGTGTTTAGGAAGATAGATTTTTTTGTAGTTGGATGTGATGTTTATGAGAGAAAAAGTGAAATGATTATGAGTTTAATGCAATATTTTGAATGGATTTATTTTTTTTGAATTTTTATCCTATTTTATCTTTTAGCAAACAGCAATGCTGGGACCCCAGTGACCCCCCAGTGCCACGTGTCGGCATGGGGTTGGCTGAAAACAAAAAACAAAACAAAAAATTGTTTTTTGGGCCAATCACATGAGACCCCAGCACCCCCACTGGGGGTCTCAAGCTTTATTCTTTAGCAAAAAACTAACAAAAAAAAAACCTTTTCCCAAACACCGCCAATGAAATGGAATTGCTGCTCTGTCTCACACTCTTTTGATTCCCAAGTCCAACCTTCCCAGATGGGAACAAACGGAAAAAAAGAAAAAGAAAAATAAAAATAAAGTTAGAAAAACGGTTTTCCTAAATCCGTTTTGTAAAACCGCTTTTTTTCAAAAAAATATTTTCAAACTCTAATAAAAGAGTTCTAATAGTTCTAATATAGGTGTAGATCCCACTGTGATAGTGATATTTATGTCTTGTGTTTTTTTTTTTTTTTTTGACTTTCTATGTCATTAGAGCTCATTGATTTAGAGGGATATGTCATTATTGTTTTTAAAATCATTTTTTGTATTAAAAATATTTTTGGTCAAATTTTTTTTTTTGTTGAAAATATAAGTTTAAAAAAATTTAGTGTAAAAACGGTTTAAATTAATTAAAACCGTTTTTCCTTAATTTAAAATTAATTAAAACTGACTTTCTCAAAGCTTTTTATGTGTTTAAATTTTATTATTATTTTAATAGTAAAACAATCCTTTTCAAAAGTCGTTTTTACTAAAGTCATTTTACCTTATAATAAAAATAAAGATAAAAACCCACCTTAAAATGGGAGCAAAGTTTTTAAAAAACTAACCATAAACACATAAGAGAAAGCTTTTATACACAGAAAATGATACGGTTATTAAATGAAAAAATTACCTATAAATCCTATCCTAAAAAAAGTTAAACCATTTAGTCCCTTAAATTTTCTTGTATACCATTTAGTCCTAATGTATTACCAGATTTTGAGGGTGTGATTTGATTCCATTTATTTTTACATCAATACCCTTTTACATCAATAACTGGCCAGATCTTAAACCAGATGAGTTTTTCAGAGGCTTCCATGGCGGAGGAGGGTTTGTAGCGAAATGGCTCGTCCACGGTCGATGATCTCTCTGTTGTTGTTATTCATTCCTTGCTTTGCGTCCGAATCCATAGGGTACGAACCACAAGAAGAAGAATGGGAAGAGTTCTCAGAGGAATTGCTGTTGAAGCCATTGCCAGATCGTAAGGTTCTAGCCCATTTTCACTTCCAAACCAGAGTTCCTCCTTCGGAATCGCCTCAGATTTGAGATCTGAAACAGTCGCGGATGGTTTGACTCATAACACTCTCCACATGTTGAAGCAAGACAAATAGTTGTTCCAGATCTGAGATCTGTTTCTGAAACAGATATGCGAGAGGAAGGAGAGATCTATTTCCCAGTTTCGAAAAATTGCAATGATACACGTCACATAGATCGGATCCGACTCGATTCAACTTTGTGCTCATCGTACTACCGGTTCTCACGATCCTTCTCCTCTTGTTGACTCACGCCACCGCCAATATACTATTTTTGGTCTTGATTGAAGTTGTGCTTGTTTTGATTCACGCTGCTTTGATGCTTTGATGAAGATTGATGACTTGGTCTTTGATGAAGAGGCTGACGGAGCTAGTGCGATGTGTAATTTTTCACGATGTTTATTCCTAATGTTCTGACGTTGATCTTCAATGTTGATGATGTTGTGATGTTGTTGATGTGTTTGATGATGTTTGATGTTTTAATGTTTGATGTTGTTGGTGTTTTTGATTATGTTTTGTTGATGTTTGTTTGGAGGGAAAACAAATTTTTATAGAGTTTTGGGCATTTCAGTCAATATCATGTTGGGTTTTTTCTAATTTATTCTTACTAAAAAGCGTAAAACATAGTGTAACATTGGTTATTTTGTCATTAACATTAGTTTGGGACTAATTGGATCATAAGATAAAACATAGGACCAAATGGATCATAAGATAAAGATTTGGGATTTATTGGTGCATCACCCGTTATTAAATATATAATTAAATATTTTATATAAATATAAAAGTTATAAAATTACAGACTCTGCATCTATATAAAATAATTATTTAATAAAAAATTTGATATTTTTAACCGTGAAGAAGACTTTTCTATATATTCTACAAAGAAAATGACATGGTATGTCATAAACAGAGACTAGAAAGAGAGAATAAGGAGACAACTTTGTATTCTATAAAGAAAACGAAACCATAGAAGAAGATGATGGATAGTGAGGTCAAGATCTTCATCAAGGTATGGATTGCATCAATTGCATCTATGTGTTACTGTTTCTTCATAGCCAAACACATCCCAAAAGGCATTACTAGGCTCTTCTTCTTCATACCCATCTTCTATCTCCTCATCACACTCCCCTTCAACCTCCACTCCTCCCATCTTGTTGGTCCCACATCCTTGTACCTTGTTTGGCTTGCCAATTTCAAGCTCCTCCTCTTTTCATTTGATCTGGGTCCCTTATCAGATTCAAATTCCCTCCTCCTCTTTTCATCTCCACTGCACTCCTACCCATCAAGATCAAACAAGACCCATCTCCAAATTCACCCCCAAATCCCCAAACCAATCCAAACCCACCTCCAAAATCATCACCAGATGTGCAGAGATCAGCTCAATTGGCTAAGTTTGTATTGGTTTTGGTTTTGGTTTTGGTTTTGGCCATACTGATTCTCACATACTATTACGGTGAATACTCGTACTCATTTTTCGTTTTGGGTCTCCACTGGTGCCACTTGTACCTGGACGTACTAGCCATCGTTTTGGAATCCGGATCACCCGTCGCCTTCCCCTGTCGCCCCCAAAACGACATTTTTTTGGGGGCAAATTTTCAAAAAAAAAACGCAGAGAAGAGGGAGGAAGGAGAGGAAGAGGGAGAGGGAGGAAGGAGGGAGGAGGGAGGAGGAGGAGGAGGAGGGGGCTGCGAGCTCGCCGTCCTCGTCCCTCGCCGCCGTTGCAGCCGTCGCAGCAGCTCCACCTCGTCGCAGCACCTGCGACCGCCGTCACCTCCGCCTCCGACCCGTCTCCACCTCCTCCTCCTCCTCCCCTGTATTTATGGCCCCCTCCAGTCCGGCCCTTCCCCTCCTCCTCCTCCTCCTCCTCCTCCATCCCTCTTCCTCTCCTTCCTCCCTCTTCTGCGTTTTTTTTTTTTGAAAATTCGCCCCCAAAACGACGTCGTTTTGGGGGCGACAGGAAAGGGCGACGGGGAAGGGCGACCGATGATCCATTCCCCTTGCCAAACACCCCCTCACTGCATGACATTACTGAATCAAATTTCATACGCTACTATACACAACCCAAACAATAATAATGTGGATCAAAAAAAAATCTCGCCCCTTATAAAATAAATTTTTATTTTTTATCGATTTGTATAGTAGTACTCAAAAAATTAAAAAGTTATTACTATTCACTAAAAGTCAAAAAGTACGGCTGCACAACTCTCAATTCTAATTTTTCCCTACACACTAATTCATATAATTTTTTAATACACATTTTTCCATAAAAATTTAAAAAATTAACCAAACATCTATATTTTTTCTCTCAACTTTTTAGTCTAAAAAGATAAAAAAAATACACTTATTTAAGACACCCCAAACAACCCTTATATAAGCTATCCAAAAAAATGATGTGCGCTAATAGCGGCACTAAAAAAAAAAAAAAAAGGGGGAAAATATATAAAATAAGTTTCAACTATTTGGATGATTGCTTTTATCATAAGCTTTAATTGGGTGTATTAGAAATTTTAGGTTTAAGCTTCATAATTTTATTTTTATGAGTGAGCAGGTGAGAATGGTTATCTAACAAAAATGATCTAACATATACAAATAAATCAAAAAAAAAAAAAAAA